AGAAAAAAACCCTCTTACTATCTGCTTTAGCAGACTTGAGCTCAGACTTAGTTTTGTTTTCTTAACCATATTGTGGTAACCTTGATTAACATCATTCTTGCCTGCTTAACATTGCCTAGTGTTGTTTTCTTTGACACTCTTTATCATGCCTCTATTATTCATTCTTTACTTTTTAAATGACTGCTGTTACTGTCTCTAGCCCCATAAAAATTTAAATAATGGCATCTGAAGACCGAGAAGCTCAGGAAGACGAATTGCTGGCGTTGTCCAGTATTTATGATGGAGATGAATTTAAAAGATCAGAATGTACCCAAGGTGGAGAAAGCACAATCTATTTGGATTTGCCAGAAAATTTCATGGTATTTGTGAGTGGTAAGTCAATTATATACTCTTATTTATTAATAAGTTTATTTCTAAGAGCTTCGTTGAAATATAGTTATAGCATAAAATTCATCAATTTAAAATATGCAGTGCAATGCTTTTTAGTTCGTGGACTTGTGCAATCAGAGCCACAAACTTTTAAAAGTTTACACATAGAATTACCATTTGTTTTGTTGTTAATTGCCAACTCACAGCAAACCTGTACAAGGTTTCCAAGGAGTGGCTGGTGAGTTTGAACCACATGCATGGCCCAGTAATTCCACTCTCATGTACAAGGGGGCTTCAAAAAGCAATTGAAATTAGAATTGTAAGGTAATGGAATTTTTCCTTGAAGTTTTTGAAGCTCCTTGAGAAATTAATCCCAAGAGAAATGGAAACATATGGCCATACAAAAACCTCATATGCAAATGATCATATTACCACTATTCATAATAGCCAAAATATGGAAACAACTTAAATGCTCATCAATCGATAAGTGGGTAAATAAAAAATTTTGTCTATCCATACAATGATATATTGTTTACCCTTGAAAAGAAATACTACATCAGGGACAAACCTTGGCAGAACTGTACTAAAGTGAAAGAAACCAGACCGAAAGGGCTATATATTCATTTAGGTGAAATGGCCAGAATAGCATTGCCTCGTGCTGGAAAGAAGATGTGGTTGGCAGTAAATTCTAATGCTAGATTTTATTTGGAAAAAGGGAGGGAACTTGACAAAATATTCTGAAATTAAAGATAAACTTAAGTTGTTAAGTGCCGTTGAGTCGGTTCCAACTCATAGTGACGCTGTATAGGGTTTCTGAGACTGTAAATCTTTGTGGGCGCAGGAAACCTCATCTTTCTCTTTATAGAGTAGCTGGTGGGCTCGAACCTCTGACCTTATGGTTCACATTCCAGTGCTTATCCTACAGAGCGCACTGTGCTCCCAAAATTAGATAGGGGTGCACAATTCTGTGAGTATATTAAAACCCACTGAAAAGTATATTTTAAAAGGGTTGATTTTTTTTTTTTTTTAAGAAAAATGTTTTCTGTATATTTTGTCTTTTTATTTTGCTTAATTTATTTTCAAGTGCTTCCAATAAGACTTATTTTTATTTTTTTCCTAAGGGGTTGGCAGTATAATTAAAGTTAGAGGAGGGATTGTGTTTTGGTGGAGGATTTTTTCCATCTATTGGTAGAGTTGGAGTCCTGGTGTGTCTCTGTAGTGTTAAGTGCTGAACTGTTCACCGCAAGGTCGGTGATTCAAGCTCCTCGGAAACCCAGTACAGGGTCACCGTGAGTCAGAACTAACTAGACAGCAATTAACAACAAAAACATTGGCTTAGTTAAGCCTTTCACTGGGTTGTTGACCAATCGATTGTTTCACATCTTTGTATCTAATCCAGACAATGGAGCCGATGGTCTGCAGAATAATGGCAAGGAGCATATGGTCTGCTTTCTGCCTCCCCTTGTGCTGAGCTTTGAACTGCCATCAGATTATCCATCCAACTCCCCACCTTCATTCACCCTTAGTGGCAAGTGGCTGTCAGTGACCCAGGTTAGTGTCTAACTTTACTATTTATTTTTCAAACCCATTTTTAAGCACTAAAAGAAATCATCCTTTGTTGAAGACAGACCTGATGATCTTAAGCATGAAGAAAAATCGCATCTGTGGTTCGCAGAATTTCTAGGAATTCCCCCAGAGAGTCGGTTTGAATTGCAGTTCAAGTTCACCAGCCGCTCCTCCGTGAACATACAGGGTTCATAAAGGGTCGCTATGAGTTGGAACCAACTTGACGGCACTGAACAACAACAGCAACAATCTCTAACATTCCACACTCCTGTCATCTCCCAAACCTGTGATTGTGTTACATCATATGGCATAACTGACTTTAAGTAACAGAGATTATCTGGGTCTAATTAATCATCAGTACTAGTCCAAGTTGCTGTAGAGCTGATTCCAACTCATGGAGACCCCATGGATGTCAGAGTAGAACTGTGCTCCATAGGGTTTTCAATGGCTGATATTTTGGAAGTATATTGTATAAGAAGCAGATTCCCTAGGGAACATAGTAAGTGGTTTCCATTTCTGAATATTTGCTTGTTGATAACAAATACAGATTGATCTCATGCACTCTTAAAGCCACACAGTATAGAAGTAAATAAGATTTCTGTAGCTTCATGTTAAGTTTTTTTGCCCTGATCTTCTGTTTGTTTGTTTTCTGCTTTCCATCAATTTTGCTAAGTTGTGTTTTTCAAGGAATGTGCCTATTTCCTCTTTGTTGACCAATATACTGGCCTAAGGTTTGTTCACGTCATCCCATTATTATCCTTTTAATGTCTTGTGTCCGTATTATGCTCCTTTATTATTGAACTCCTGGTATGGCTCTTGTAGGATCAGCACTGTACTGCTAACCACAAGGTTGATGGTTCAAACCCACTAGCTGCTCTTTTGAAACCCTATGTTGTTGTTGTTGTTAAGTGCCATAGAGTTGGCTCCAACTCCTAGTGACCCTGTATAGGGTTTCCAATGAGTGGCTGGTGAGTTTAAACCGCCGACTTTGTGGTTCAAACTGACCTTGCGGTCCAATGCTTTACCCACAGATAATGAGTCAGAACTGACTCGATGGCACTTAACATCAACAATTGCTAGTTTATGCTTCATGAAGCAGTTTTTGATGAGTAGTTTCTGAAAACTAACCTTTGACCTAGTCAGTTTTCTATACTGCCATCTGTTGCATTGATTCCCGACTCATGTCCTGTTTCTTTTCTTCTGCTTTCTGGGGATAGCTTTGGATGGCACAAATGGTTACGTATTCGAGTACTTTCTAAGTGAGGATGTCACTTGTCATGGTTCCTTTCTTTCAATGGCCAGTTGCCCAGTTTCCTGTCTCCTTTTGGCCATCCTTTAAATGTCTACAATTCGTGTGGTTGTTTGTTTGTTTTTTAATCAGGCTGTATTGTTATTGGCAACAGAATTCATTTCATGCATGCTTCTCCAACATTATCCATCCCTTTGTTCTTTTTTTTTTTTTTACTTATTCTTAGTTTAAGTCATCAAATAAAAAAACGAACCTTCAGGAGGTTTATTTTTATATGTTTCTTTAGAAAGAAAAACGTCTCCTCATCACAGTAGTTCTGCTAAAAAAATGGGTTAACTCTCAGTAGACATTCCTCTTATACATCCCTTTCAAATTGGTCAGATAACTTTTAAGTAGCATTTCCCTCTGTTTGTTTAGCATGAAAAATTTGAGCTTTGCCTTAAGAAAGTAAAACTCTTTGGTGGGAGGCCTGTTATTTTCATAGTTCTATATCTAATCATTTTTCCAGGGTACTTAAATGGCTAGAATGACAAACAATTTGAAGCCCTCTGTTGTAAAACAATTTCTCTTCTAGTTAAGAGACCTTCTAATATTAAAATGAAACAAGGTAATGAAGAAAAAGGCCCCCTTGGCAGTGTTCTGATATGAACCATTGTAAATCTGCGCTGGTTTTTATGGTGTCCCTTTCTTGTGTCTTCTGCCTTTATGCACACCATGCTGAATATATTATGTATCAGATGGTGGGGCTTTTCTTTAGCACAGTATGATACTGTAGTGAAACATTAGTTTCAGAAATTTCATGATTTTAACAGCAGATTAAGGAGAAAGAAAACATTTTAAGAAAAGTCAGTGTTGACAGCAAATTAGTATTTCTTTTCCAGATGCACTGATGTCTTCATTGTTTCTCACAGCTAACTGCTCTCTGCAAGCGCCTGGACAATCTGTGGGAAAAACAGCGTGGCAGTGTTGTTCTGTTTTCCTGGATTCAATTTCTTAAGGAAGACACCCTCACATACCTGAACATCAACTCTCCCTTTGAGCTCAAATTTGATTCTCCGGAAAACATGGAGAGAAGAATAGGCCCAGCCACTCTCCCAGAAGAATTATCGTTTGCAGGAGCAACTGGCTTTGTGGAAGACCAAGAGCAAGCTGTGGATAAGAGAGCTGTGCGGGATATAGATATAGAATCCCTGGCAAGTCTGCTCCAAGAAGTCTTGGACTTTGATCAAACTCAGCAGGAAAAGTCCTTTAACAAAGCAGCCTACACATGCAATATCTGTTTCAGTATCAAGCTGGGCAGTCAATGCATGTGCTTCTCGAATTGCAAACACGTGTACTGCAAGGAATGTATGAAAAGCTACTTTGAGATCCAGATCAAGGATGGACGGGTCAATTCTCTCAACTGTCCAGAACCAAAGTGTTCTTCAATGGCCACCCCTAATCAGGTAACTGTTTACCTTGCTGGCAACTGCATCCCAATTCTGTTTCTTCCCTGGGAGCCTGCTTCTCAAGAGTTTCTTCCATCTAGCTCACCAGGCCATTCCCAGGCCTGCAGTCAAGTCTTACTTGGTTGCTATGTTGTTATTAGGTGCCATCAAGTCACTTCCTACTCACAGCGACCCTATGCACAGCAGAACAAAACACCACCCAGTCCTGCACCATCCTTACAATGGCTGCTACACTAGAAACCAATGCTGCTTTGCCAGTCCATCTTGTTGGTGGTCTTCCTCTTTTCCGCTGACCCTCCACTTTATCAAGCATGATGTTCTTTTCCAGGGATTGGTCCCGTTTAATAAGGTGTCCTAAGTATGAGACACAAAGTCTCGCCATCCTGGCTCCTAAGGAGCATTCTGGTTGTACTTATTCCAACATAGATTTGTTTGTTCTTCTGGCAGTCCATGTACTTTTTTCTTCTCCAACACCACAACTCAAATGCATCAATTCTTCCATGGTCTTATTTATTGTTCAACTTTAACGGGCATAGGAGGCTATTTAAAATACCATGGCTTGGGCCAGGCATGATTTAGTCCTCAGATTAACATCTTTGCTGGGGTCTTTGATCTTCATCAATAAATATTTTAAGTTCTCTTCACTTTCAGTGAACAGGGTTGTATCATCTCCAGTCCTGTTGCCACGTTCTTCTTCATATAATCCAACTTCAGAAATTATTTTCTCAGCATACAGATTGAATGTGGTTGTAGTGACTGTGTAGGGTTTTCGAGTCTGTAAATCTTTACGAGGACAGAAAGCCTTATCTTTTCTCCAGTGGAACGGCTGGTAGTTTCGAACTTCTGATCTTGAACTTAGCAACCCGACTTGTAACCACTACACTACCAGAGTATGGCAAAAGAATACAACCCTGGCACACACTTTTCCTGATTTTAAACCAGTCATTGTCCCCTTGTTCTGTTTGAATGACTGCCTTTTGGTCTATGTTCCCATAGCCAGCAAGAAGGCTGTTTTTATCTTACATTAGTATTCCAGTAAATCTAAGACTACTTCTGCTAGCCTTGGAATCAGCAGTCCTTGGCAGGAACATGTTATTTTTAGTTCTGGGAATCTACTTTGTAAATCTGCTAAACTACCATTCTACTTGAGGACTCTGTCTTTATTGTGTGCACGGTGTTGGTGGCCCACACTCTTTACATTGGTTAGCCTGATTACTTATAATAATTTTAAGCAAAAAATGTTCTCCTAGTGTGCCACTTTAGGATAAGCACGGGATTGCTAACCAGAAGCTCAGTGGTTCAAACCCACCAGTTGTTCCTTGGAAAGATTATACAAGGTCATTATGAGTCGGAAGCGACTCTGTGACACTTAACAATAACAAGCAAAAGACACACACACACACACCTGTCTATCCACCACTCGTATGTCAGTTTGCTGTACTGTGGTGGCTTGTATGTTGCTGTGCTGCTGGAAACTATGCCACCAGTATTTTCAAGACCACCAGGGTCACCCATGGTAGACAGATTTCCACAGAGCTTCCAGACTATGACAGACTAGGAGGAAGAGGAGGCAGACTATTTCTGAATGTTTAGACACCAAAAACCTTATAAAGGGCAGCGGAACATTGTCAGATACAGTGCCAGAAGATAAACCCTCAGGTCGGAAGGCACTCAAAACATGACTGGGGAAGATTTGCCTCCTCAAAGTCGACATGACTGTGATGACGTGAATGGAGTATAGCTTTCGGGACCTTCATTTGCTGATGGGACACAACTAAAAATGAAGAGAAACAGCTGTAAACATCCATTAATATTTGGAACATGGAATGTGCGAAGTATGAATCGAGGAAAATTGGAAGTTGTCAAAAATGAAACGATCGATATCCTAATCATTAGTGAGCAGGAATGGACTGCTATTGATCATTTTGAATCTGACAGTCATATGGTGGGAATGACAAATTCAAGAGTAATGGCATCACATCCATTGTCAAAAAGACCATTTCAAGATCTGTCTTGAAATACAATGCTGTCTGTGATAGGATAATATCCATATGTCTGCAAGAAAAACCAGTTAATACCACTATTAATCAAATTTACACACCAACCACTAATGCCAGTGATGATAAAATTGAAGAAGGAACAGCACTGGACTGTGAACCACAAGGTTGGTGGTGGTTCAAATCCACAAGCTGATCCTCAGAAACCCTATACAGGGTCGCTATGAGTCAGAACTGACTCGACAGCACTTAACAACAATAACAGCCAATTTCTTCAGTATGAAACTGATTATACATGTTATTAAGATGTATTGCTAATTACTGGTGATTGGAATGTGAAGGGTTGGAAACAATGAGGAAGGATTAGTAGTTGGAAAATAAGACCTTGATGATAGAAATTATGCTGGAGATCGCATGATAGAATTTTGCAAGACCAATGACATATTTATTCACTGCAAATACCTTTTTTCAACAACATAAAAGGTATACACATGGAGCTCTGGTAGTGTAGTGGTTACGAATTGGGCTGCAAACCGCAAGGTCAGCAGTTTGAAACTACCAGCTGTTCCACAGAAGAAAGATGAGGCTTTCTGCTCCCGTAAAGAGTTACAGCCTCTGAAACCCTGTCCAGGGTCGCTGTGAGTTAGACCTGACTCCACGGCATGTAACCAACCAACAAATACACAAGGACCCCACCAGATGGATTGCACAGAAATCAAATTGACTGTATCTGTAAGAAGAGATGGTGGAAAAGCTCAATAACATCAGCCAAAACAAGGGCGGGGGCTGACTTTGAAACACACCTTCAAAAGTTCAGGCTAAAGTTGAAGAAAATTAAAAAGAGCCCACAAAAGCCAAAAATATGACTTTGAACATATTCCACCTGAATTTAGAGGTCATCTCAAGAACAGATTTTATGCATTAGACACTAATGACTGAAGATCTGAAGAGTTGTGGGATGACATCAAAAACATACAGGAAGAAAGCAGAAGGCCATGAAAAACACAAGAAAGAAAGAAAAGACCAAAATGGATGTCAGAAGAGAGTCTGAAAATTGACTCTTTAGAGTAGGGATGCTAAATGAATGGAAGACATTGAGTAAGTAAAAGAGCTGAACAGAAAATTTCAAAAGACAGCTTGAGAAGACAAAGCCAAGTATTATAATCAAATGTAATGTGTAAAGACCTGGAGTTAGAAAACCAAAAGGGAAGAACATGCTCAGCGTTTCTCAAACAGAAAGAAGTGAAGAAAAAATTCAAGCCTCAACTTTCAATATTGAAGGATTCTCTGGGAGTCCTGGTGTGGCACTGTAGAATAGACACTGTACTGTTAGCCACAAGGTTGTTGATTCAAATCCACCAGCTGCTCCTTGGAAACCCTGTACAGGGTTGCTATGAATCAGAACTGACTCAATAGCCCGTAACAAAAGCAGCAACAATTGGCAAAATATTGAATGATGCTTAAAATATGAAAAGAAGATGGAAGGGAATGCACAATCACTATACCATTTCAAGGGGTAGCATATGATCAAGAACCAATGGTACTGAAGACATTGGCAAAAAATCAAGGCTCCAGGAGTTGATGGAATGCACACTGAAATGTTTCAAAAAATTATGTAGCACTGGACATGCTCATTCACCTATGCCAAGAACTTTGGAAAAACAGCTACTTGGCCAACCGATGGGAAGAGATTAATATTTTTTGCCCATTCAAAAAAGAGGTAAGCCAATGGAATGTGGAAATCATTGAACAGTGTCATTAATATCATATGCAAGTAGAATTTTGCTGTAGGTAATTTTAAAAATGAGTGCTGGGAACTGCCAGAAATTCAACCCAATTCAGACAAGAGATATCATTGCTAGCATCAGATGGATCGTGGCTGAAAGCAGAGAATACTAGAAAAATGTTTACTTGTGCTTCCTAGACTACACAAAGGCTTTTGATTGTGTGGATCAGGAGAAGCTACGGACAACATTGCAGAGAATGAGTATTCCAGAACACGTAATTGTGCTCAGGAGAAACCTGTACATAGACCAAGAGACAGTTAGTTGTTCAACAGAACAAGGGAACGTAGAATGGTTAAAAATTAGGAAAGGTGTGTGCCAGTGTTGTATTTTGTTCAAGATAATTCAAAAATGGCTGCAATAGTACATTGACAGGGACCTTCCAGAGGTTCAAGCCAGATTCAGATGAGGATGTGGAGCGAGGCATATCATTGTTGATGTCAGATGGATCATAGTTCAAAGCAGAGAATACCAGAAGTTTTTTTTACCTGTGCTTTATTGACTATACAAAGGCTTTCGACTGTGTGGATCATGACAAGCTATGAATAATATTGCAAAGAATGAGTATTCCAGAGCACTGTGCATAGACCAAGAGGTAGTCATTTTAACAGAACAAGGGGGCACTGAATGGTGTAAAATCAGGAAAGGCTTGTATTCTTTCACCATACTTATTTTATCTGTATACTGAACATATACTCCGAGAAACTGCATTATATGAAGAGGAACCCATGTTTGGAGGAAGACTCATTAACAACTGGCAATGTGCAGATAATACAACCTTGCTTACTGGAAACGAACAGGACTTAAAGTACTCACTGGTGAAGATCAAAGGTTACAGCCTTCAGTATGGATTGCACATCAATGTAAAGAAAACAAAAATCCTCAGAACGGAACCAATAAATAACATCAGTGTAAATGGAGAAAAGATTGAAGTTGTCAAAGACTTCATTTTGCTTGTATCCACTATCAACACTCATGGTACCAACAGTCAAGAAATCAAACGACGTATTGCATTAGGCAAATCTGCTATACAAGACCTCTTTAAAGTGTTCAAGAACAAAGATCAGTTTGCAGACTAAAGTGCACCTGAACTAAGCCATGATATTTTCAATAGCTTCATAATAATGTGAAAGTTGGGCAATGAATAAATAAGACCATAGAATTGATGGGTTTGAAGTTATGGGGTTGTAGAAGAATGCTAAAATTACCATGGGCTGGCAGAAAAACAAATCTGTGTTGGAAGAAGTATAGTCAGAGTGCTCCTTAGAAGACAGGATTTTGAAACTTCATCTCTCATACTTCGGACATGTGATCCACAGGGACCAGTCCCTGGAGAAGGACGTAATACTTGGTAAAGTCGAGGGTCAGCGAAAAGAGGACGACCCCCAGTGAAATGGATTTGCACAGTGGCAACAGCAGTGGACTCAAGCGTAACAGTTGTAAGGATCAGGCCGTATTTCATTCTGTTGGGTAGAGGGTCGCTGTGAGTCGAAATCAACTTTAGGGCTCCTAAAACAACAGCAATACACCTGAATTGGATCAGTAGCCTATGAATTTCCTTGTGATGTAGAATCAGAGTCAGAATTGGATGGGAAATCATTCATACTGTTTTTGTTTTTATTTCACTCCAGGTTAAAGATCTCGTGCCAGAGGACGTATTTGCACGTTATAACCAGCTTCTCATCCATGCCTCCTTGGAACTGATGGAGGATGTGGTCAGTTGCCCTAGGATAGTCTGCCAGTTGCCTGTGGTAGAGGAGAAAAAATACAGATTAGGAGTATGTGGGGGTTGCAGTTATGCCTTCTGTACCCTGTGCCGCTTCGCCTACCATGGGATTTCTCCATGTAGGATGACACCAGGTAAGCTGGGAGGTATGATCTTTAACCGAAAACAAAACAAACCAGAAAAGAAGGGTTTTTAATTTTAATGGTAATTTTTGTTTTCCCTCTCTATATATTAATATATGACAAGCACCATCCTGGTATGGAGTCCTGGTGTGGTGCTGTTGGATAAGGCACTTGACCTCAAGGTCGATTTGAACCACAAGGTTGGCGGTTCAAACTCACCACCTGCTCCTTGGAAACCCTATACAGGGTCACTATGGTACCTGGCCCAAGTCATGGTATTTTCAATAACCTCATATGCATGCAAAAGCTGGACAGTGAATAAGGAAGACTGTAGAAGAATTGATGCTTTTGAGTTATAGTATTGGAAGAGAATATTGAAAGTGTCGTGGGCTGCCAAAAGAACCAACAGATCTGTGTTGGAAGAATTGCAGCCAGAGTGCTCCTTTGAGGCCAGGATGGCCAAACTTCTCTCATACTTCGGACATACTGTCAGGAGGGACCAGTCGCTGGAGAAGGGTATCATGTTTGGTAAGGTGGCTGGTCAGAGAAAAAGAGGAAGACTCCCAGCAAGATGGATTGGCAAATTGTTAGCATCAATGGGCTCAAGCATGGCAACAATTGTGAGGTTGGCCCAGGACGAGGCAGTGTTTCGTTCTGTTGTGCATAGGGTCGCTATGAGTCCATACTGGCTCAATGGCACCTAACACCATAAGTCAGAACCGACTGGACTTTTGAGAATGTAATGGTAATCATGATGGCAGCTTACTGCTTTTTTTTTTTACTTCTTAAAAGCCTCTCTCCAGGCTGTTAGGATGGAATCTTATATAAGGTAACAAAATCATGGGACTGACATCCCAGCACATTAGCCAGATTATGTAACGTAATCAAAGGAGTGCTATTCCAACACCTTTGCCATATTCTGTTGTTCTAGAGCAAGTCACAGGTCTCACCAACGTTCAAATAGCAGAATTATTTGTAGTTGTTAGGTGCCATCGAGTTGGCAAGTTTCAGAGTCTCTTCTGACATCCAAATTTTGACCTTTTCCTTCTTTCTTGTCTTCTTAATGACTTTTTGCAGAATTATACAAGGTGCTAATATGGGCACCACCATAGCATCTGTCTGTGATAGCCTGCTCTCTGGTACCTAGTGATACGTTTCTATCTTGTGTACAAAATACATTCACTACTTCCCAAATTCAGCATCCTTTGCCATCTGGAGGCTGAGAATTTTCAAAATCATCAAGTCCAATTTCCATTTTGCTTTATAGTAATTTTTCTATCAATTTATCTCTTTTGTCTTTCATTGTATTATAAACAGCCAGAAGGAACCAGGCAGCATTTTCATTACTTTGCTTGGCAATCTTAACTATAGAATTATATATCTATCATTTAAAAGTTCTCCTCACAATATAGCAGCAGGAGACAATTTGGCCAAGCTTTGTGCCACTATGAGGATGGAAATGAGAATCATCCTTCTTCCTTATGTGTTTCATCTCCTTCTGAATCCAGCGTGTCCTTAAAGTCTAGATTTAGAAACTCTTAGTAGACTCTATTATGTGCCTCCAACCGCTCTGTCCACTGCCCAGTTCTGAAGCAACTCCTACATCATTAAGTGTTTATTAATGTGGAAAGGATTCAACTCTAGGAGAATGCTCATTATACAGAATGGAATGCAGTGACCTCTGAAGACCATGGGGAATGAGAACTGAATATCTTGAGGCTGCAAAGCTTTGATACTAATACCTAATGTGGGGAAATTGTTGTCGTTAAGTGCTGTCAAGTCGGTTCTGACTCATAGCAACCCGTTATAGGGCTTCCAGGGCTTTAAATCTTTGTAGGAACAGAAAGCCTCATCTTTTTCCTGAGGAGTGGCTGGTGGGCTCTAACCACTGACCTTGTGGATTGCAGTCTAGTGCTTATCCTAAAGAACAATTGCACTCCCTGTAGGAAAACCTGGTTAATCGAATTAGGTTAATTTCTATATTCAAAACCTCAGGAGAAGATTGTCATTTCATTTGAGTTGAATGACTGTGGACTAGAAGCATGGTTGAAGGGAAAACAGGTCATTAAACAGAACCTTTCAATACTTTTGCAAAGTATTATTATTGTTGTCAAGTGCCCTTGAGTCAGATCCGAATCACAGCGACCCTGCCTAGGGTTTCCGAGGAGCAACTGGTGAGTTTGAACTGCCGACCTTGTGGTTCAAACAGACCTTGAGATCGAGTGATTACTCTACAGTACCACACCAGGACAAGGTATAGAAGAGGGTGGTAAAGTATTCATTGACTCTTATGTACAGACCTGGACAGAGACTCTGTGCCGTAAACCACCGTACCTCCATGTCTTTGTGCAGTTGGACTCTAAGGCGAATACCTGGTACTGACTCAGTGGAGAAACTGACAAAGATGTTTGTTTCAACTTTTGCTTTTTTACCTTGTATGATTAGTTGAATAAGCATATCATCACTAGTAAACAATCATCAAAGGAAAATATGATTTATTATTCTGCTATCTGTGGAAAGCCAAAATTTTCAAGTTGGTGGCGCCTGTTTTTCTTTGTCATTTTGTGCTTACATAACAGCACAGGTACAATTTTGTTTTGTCATTTCATCATGAGAATTTAAATTTGGCTGTAGTGTTTCAAGGAGTCCTGGTGTGATGATCTTGGATAAGTACTGGCCTGCTAACCGAAAGGCCAGCAGTTCAAAGCTGCCAGCTGCTCCTCAGAACCGACTTGACAACACTGAACAGCAACATAGCGTTCCAAATTAGTGAACGAGTGATAGTCCATTCCATGTCTCTGCCACATCGACTTCTCCTTTAGTCACAGGTATGGAGAGGCATGTAAACATGGCAATGCACCATGACAGCTTTATGATAAAGTGCCTGTAATGGTATCACTGAACCAAAGGGTATGGTTGTTTGAATTGGCTTTTATTCAGCTTTACAAACCTCCATGAAAATTAATTTTTCTACTTTATGTTATAGAGAAGCTAATGCAACTACAAAAGCAGTACCAGCGTGCAAGTGAAAATGAAAAAAGGATGTTGGAGAAGAAGTATGGTAAGAGGGTAATTCAGATGGCATTGGACGAGATGAAGAGTAAGAAGTGGCTGGAAATGAACTCCAAACGCTGCCCAAGTTGTGGGAGTCGTATAGAAGTAAGTATTTTGGAAGAAACTCACAGGTAGATGTACAAGTATGTTCCTCTTTCCCTGACCCACAGGATACCTGTAGTCAATATTATGACTTATTCAGAAGACATTTGGGGCTATTAAGACATCTGTCTTGGAAGATGAAAATTGCCCAGTAAATAATATTTTTGTACCCAAAGTATCTCAGGCTTCACATTAAAAACATGGATGACCCTTGAGGACATTGTTGTTATCGTTGACTATGCTTGACTATTTTATGAATATTGGTTTCCCTTGCCTACTATTATAAAATAGACACTTGAGTGGGATAGAAAGGAATGTCGGGAGACATGATTACAGAAAGCTTGTAAGCCCATCTTAAGCCTATAACTGATACCAAGAAGGAGTTCTAGAACTTTCCAAGTGAAATAGGCTTCTTGCGGAGTCTTTGCAGTGTATAGGACCTTAGGTGGAATTCTAAGCCCCATCCAGAACCTTCTGAGGTGAGACATTTCCAATAGAAAAGACAAGCTGGCCAGCCGGGAGCAGCTACAGCAACAGAAGATACATCTTCAAAGAAAGAGCAGCAAGAAAAACCCAAAACAAAAATGGCAGTATGATTGGCTACTACAATAATAAGCAACGTGTTCGCCAGGAAGCCATCAAGTCAAGCAATCAAGTCCTTTCAGGACAAACCGCCCTCTAAGATGGAAACTCAAAGGGAACACATGAACAAGCATGTAAGCTTGCTGATGACCACATTGGTCTACTGGTGAGTGGAAGAGGGGAAAAAGCAGCAATGAAGAAACGGGCTGAGTTCAACCGGTTCCATAGACTCCCCTTGACCTGTAGATGAGAGAGAGAAGAGGAAGGGCTGGCTGGTCCAAAGGGTGGTGACCTGGGAACACCTGAGCCCATGGACAAGGACATACCCACAGAGGGCTGGAGCTGAGAGTGAAGCATCTAGCTGATAGGAAGTGATGGGAGATGCACAAGAACATCCATACTTGCAGATAGTACCCATTTTATGTAGGCTTGATGACTTGATAATCAGAACTCGACTAGAATTCGACTGGAGGAAGATCTAAAACAACAACAATTTTTGGTAAAAGAAATGAGTGTAAATTGCTACAATTTTATGAACTTGATCTATACTCATGGATGTAGTAGCTCAAAATACCAACAGAGAGGGAAGGAGTCTTCACATCAAGTATCAATGCTATCCCTTCTGTATACAGGGTAGATAGGGATGGGTAACTTAGACATTGGCTACCTAAAATGAGGGGGCGATAAAGACATGAAGTGACTAGCTTACACGTTTTCAAGAAAGAGTTTAGTTTAAGAGTGTGTGGAAGAAGATAGAGTCCCCACTGCATAGTTTTCATCTTGTCTAGATGGGTCTGGGAAAGGAGATGGGGATAAGATTCTTATGATTCAATAGTAAGTAATTGTTATCATTACTAATTGTGACTGTCAACAGTTGTAAAGGTAGATGTTTTGTAACAAAAACAGGGGAGTAGTCAATCTTATAGTCCAGAAACAGAGGACCCTAGGACCATCAAGGGACGAGAGCACAAGCAGAATGTGGAACCCTATCCAGAGAAAAGGGTGGTAACAACCTGCGATATGCAGATGATACAACCCTGCTTGCTGAAAGTGAAGAAGACTTAAAGTATTTACCGATGAAGATCAAGAAAACAACCTTCAGAATGGATTGTATCTCAATGTAAAGAAAACAAAAATCCTCCCCATTGGACCAATAAACAACATACTTATCAACAGAAAAAAGATTGAAGTCATCAAGGACTTCATTCGTCTTGGGTCAACTATCAACACTCATGGAAGCAGCAGTCAAGAAATCAAACGGCGTATTGCATTAGGCAAATCTGCTGCACAAGAGCTTTTTAAAAAAAGTGTTGAAGAGCAAAGATGTGAGCTTGAAGACTAAGGTGCGCCTGACCCAAGCCATGGTATTTTCAATAACCTCATGTGCATGCGAAAGCTGGACAGTGAATAAGGGAAACCGTAGAAGAGTTGATGCTTTTGAGTAATGGTGTGGAGGAGAATATTGAAAGTGCCAACAGATATTGAAATATTGAAGGAACCAACAGATGTGTGTTGGAAGAAGTGCAGCCAGAGTGCTCCTTGGAGGCCAGGATGGCCAAACTTCATCTCTCATACTTCAGACATATTATCAGGAGGGACCAGTCACTGAAGAAGGATATCATGTTTGGTAGGGTGGAGGGTCAGAGAAAAAGAGGAAGACCCCCAACGAGATGGATTAGCCAAGTGGCAGCATCGATGGGCTCAAGCATGGCAACGACAGTGAGGTTGGCCCAGGACCGGGCAGTGTTTCATTCTGCTGTGCATAAGGTCACTATGAATTGGTACCTACTCGATGGCACCTAATAACAACAACAACAATCCAGAGAAGCAACGACACCAGAGATGGAGGCAGAGATGGGGACATGAAGAGAGGGAGCAGCTGAGGACTCTAAATTCATGGAAAGAGAGGGACTGAGTGCTGGCGGCCAGGAGGCAGACTTGCAGAATGTACCCTCCCTTTGGTTATTCTATATGCCTGAGTGTTTAAAAAAAAAAAAAGAGCTAAAATGAATAGAGAGAAATACTGTTAGCTGATGGTACATGGATGGGATTATAATCATTGTAATGAACCAAAGTGTATGATTTGTTGAATGTAAAACTGATTATTTGCCCTATAAACTTTCACTCAATTCATATAAAATCTTAAAAAAAAAAAGGCAAAAAACAAAAAACGTACTACCATAACTGCAACCACAGCATCAATAACATCATAATTGCTACATAATTTGCCACCAATTGTTGACAACAGCACATCCATTCAAAATCAAATGGCTAAAGGGAAAGGCTAAATGGCAATCCTGGTCTCCTCTTAGCTCATATATATGGGGATTACAGTATAGACAGACAGACAGACAGACAGACAGACAGACAGACAGACAGACACACACACACACACACACACGTCTGATTTTGTTTTTGTTTTACTTGGAACCTTTTATTCTGGGGTATAGCACCCCTGATCTGGGATTTTGGAAATGCAGATATTTTCCCATTAACCTGGCTAGGTCAATCTATTGCTTCTTAAAAGAACAAATTTTAAAACTTCGATCCAAATGTAATGATGCTTGTTTTTATTTTGTTATTCCTGTCTGTTATGATTAAACTCTGACTCCATGGTACTTAGCAACAACAAAATTGATTAATTTCCCAATTGCCCCATTGTGGAAGCTCTCATTGTACTTAATCCATCAGTCCTGTGACATAGTAGAGGACTTGGCATTAGGTGTTCACTGGAATTTCTGAAACGTTCACCATTTAAAAATTGTAATCAAATATAAGCGATTTTCAATTGTAGTATCTATAGCTACAGACATCCTTTTGAACATACATGCTTGGTATGTAACTGTTGCTTATCAGCAGAAGTTTTTTATGTATCTAGTTGTAGGAGCACCTGCTCAATATTTGGTTTTATTAGTCTTACAAAATATTAAGCACTAAATAAAACGTATTTGTCACGTTTCCTGTGTGTCTCAACCCAGCATAGGGAAAGGGAGAAGACAAAGGAGTGGTTGTACTTGGTGTTTCAGGGAGCTGTGTTCTTTCATTTTAAGCCCTGATGTTTTTCTCTTTTTTTCCTTCCCTCCAGAAACTTGATGGATGTAACAAGATGACATGTACTAACTGTATGCAGTATTTCTGCTGGGTTTGCTTGCAACCTCTGTGTGCAACAAACCCTTATAAGCACTTTAATGATCGCACCTCCCCCTGTTTCCGCCTGTGAGTATATACAGACATCCTCAGACACAGCAGTAATTTTTTGGTGCATGATTTGTAGAACACAAATCTAGTGCTTCCTCTTAAATGTATTACTAGTATGTGTGACTAGTTTACAGAATTTTCTTGAAGATGCATTTTATGATGGGAGCATATGCCACATCTGGGAGTATTTATTTTTATATTTATTGCCCAATTTATTAATACTGTCAGGTTTTTTTCCCAGAGACATAGGAAAGTTGAAAGAATACTACAATGATCAGACTTGCACATATACTTTGAATTATTGAAAATGTTACCATATTTGACTGTTTTCTTTCTCTCTCCATCACTTTCTTCCTTCTATGGCTCTCTTCCCCGTTCCCTCTCTCCTTCCCTTATTTCTTCTACACCTCTCTGTCTTTTTTCTTGCTAAACTATGTGACAATAAGTTACAGGCATTAGGACACTTAGAGCCCTAAATACTTCCATCTGCAGCTCCTAAATAGAGGAAACTTTTCTACATAATCACAACATTGCCACATCTAAAAAAGTAGCAGTAATATAATGAATGTCATCATATATTTATTCCATATTCAAATTTCCCCACTTATCCCTCACATATCTTTTATAGCTATTATTAGAATAGGTATGTGCATTAAACTTACATTGCATTTGTATATTACGCCTCTGTTGTACTCATTAAGTGCCGTTGAGTCAATTCTGACTCACGGTGACCCTGTATAAGGTTTCTGAGGAGCTGCTGGTGAGTTTGAACCACCAACCTTGCTATTCAAATCGACTTCACACAGTGCTTATCCTAAAGCGTCACTCCAGGACTCTTTAGGTTGTTTTCATCTGAAACTTCTACCTTCCACCTTTTTATTCCCATAACACTGAGTTTGTTAAAAGTGGATTTTTAGATTGCTTCACCTTTTGGATAACTCTAATTGTTTTATTGGCGGTCTGGTGTGGAGCTGCAGGCTAATGCACTGGACTGCAAGGTCGCTTTGAATTGCAAGGTTGGCAGTTCAAGCTAACCAGCTGCTCCTTGGAAACCCAATACAGGGTCATTGTGAGTCGAAACCGACTTGACAACACATAACATCAACAACAATTATTTTATTATGATGTCATTTAATTTGTTCCCATATCCCTTGTGTTTCCTAACAACTGCAAGTTCGATTTCGAAATGAACTAAATCAATTTAACTTAAAGATTTTGGCAACAATGTCTCCTAGGTGATGGTGTTTCTTTCTAAATCAGAAGCCAAAATAAATAAAATAAAACTTACCTGACCTATGTGGCAAAGTGGCAGCATCAATAGGCTCAAGTGTGGCAACAGTACTGAGGTTGGCCTGGGATCGGGCAGTGTTTTGTTCTGTTGTGCATAGGCTCTGTTGTGCATAGGGTCGCTATGAGTCAGTACCGACTCGATGGCACCTAACAACAACAACAGCACGTGGCATGTGGCAGATTTTAAGGTCCTAGGAGCCCGAGTGGCATAGTTTGTTAAGCCTGGGCTGCTGACTGAAAAGTTGGCTCTTTAAACCCACTAGCCACTTAGAGGGAGGCAGATGAGGCAGCCTGCTTCCACAAAGACTGACAGCCTGGGAAACCCTACGGAGTAGGTCTCCTCACTCCTATAGGATTACTATGAGTTTGACTCAACTCAACAGCACTGGGTTAGAGAGAATGAATCCTTAGATTTTTTTGTTGTTTATAATACTAATCTCCCATGTTAAGGCTGACATCTGGTGAAAGTAGTTTAAAGGGTGATGTCATATGCTTTCGTATATAGCTTATTTTTGAGAGGTGATGATTTGACCCATGTTATATCTCCTTCCTGGGATGGATAAGTGGGCTCTATTGGACCCGTGTGTATTAGCAGTTGAATGCTACTCTGCCAGGATGCCGGAAGAGCATCCCTTGTTCTTTGTGTTTTATTTATATGACTTAATTATTCTTAGCTTACAGATGAGAAAACTGACTGTTTCAGAGGATAGTGACTTGCCCAAGGTCCTTTAACCTGTTAGAGTCAGAGCTGAGCCTTTTATTTGTAGGGTTTTTTTTCTTGTGAATTGGATGAAACTTTACAAAGCAAATTAGTTTTCCATTTAACAATTCATACAGTTTGTTTTATGTCATTGATTGCAATCCCTACAATGTACTGTATGTAACCTATCCTACCTCTTCTGTATGTTTCTCATTTCCATTCCACGTTTCTTAATCCTTCCTGTCTTCTAAACTTTGTCCTTGGACATATGCTACCTTTTTATAGCAAATGATTGATTCTTCATAGAAGTGCATACCTCCCTAGTGTTACTGTTAACTGTATAGACCTATTGTTTGGCTGAAAATTGAGCCACAGAGATGAGCTCTGCTTCCGGCCTGAAGGGTCAGCGCTGAGTCTTGACTTCCTATCTGTCTGTCATCAAGTCCATGCTCTTAAATGCGTGGCACTAGGTAAGTTAACAGTCCTGAGCCTCTGCCATATTACCTCATGTAGTGGGGCAGTATAAAAGAGAGTGAAAAACAAGCCCTACTGAAAGTTTAGTATGGGAACTAACATTCTCTAAGTGAAAGGAATCCAAGCAAAATGAAGTCTTTGACAACTTCAATCTTTTCTCTGTTTATCATGATGTTATTTATTGGTCCAGTGGTGAGGCATTTTGTTTTCTTTATATTGAGTAGCAACCCCCTGCTGAAGGCAGTGGTCTTTGACCTTCATCAGGAAATATTTAAAGTCCTCTTTGCTTTCGGCAAGCAAGGTTGTATCACTTGCATATTGCAAGTTGTTAATGAGTCTTCCACCAATCCTGATGCTACATTCTTTTTCATATAATTCAGCTTCTCGGATTATTTGCTCATCATAAAGATTGATTAAGTATGATGACAGAATACAACCCTGGTGCACGCCTTTCCTGATATAAAACCATTCATCGTCCCTTGTTCTGTTTGAACGACTGCCTCTTGGTCTATGTACAGGGTCCTCACGAGCACAATTAAGTGTTCTGTAGTACCCACTCTTCTCAATGTTATCCATAGTTTGTTATGATCCACACAGCTAAATGCTTTTGCGTAGTCAATAAAGCACAGGTAAACATCTTTCTGGTGTTCTCTGCTTTCAGCCAAGATCCGTCTTGACGTCAGCAATGATATCCGTCGTCCACTTCCTTTTCTGAATCCAGCTTGAAATTTTGGCAACTCCCTGTTAATGCAATCATTTAAAATTATCTTTAACAAAATTTTACTTACCTGTGATATTAGCAATATTGTTCAGTGATCTCCGCATTCTGTTGGGTCATCTTTCCTGAGAATGGGCACAAATAAGAATCTCATCCAATTGGTTGGCCAGATAGTTGTCTTTCAAAAGTCACAAAGATGAGTAAGCGCCTTCAGAGCTTTATCATTTGGTTGAAACATTTTAATGTTTCGTCAGTTCCTGAAGCCTTGTTTTTCACCAGTGCATTCAGTGCAGCTTGGATCTTTTCCCTCAAGAACATCAGTTGTTGATCATAATTATGCTACCTCTTGAAATGATTGAACATTGAGCAATTCGTTTTGGTATAGTGATTGTATATTCTTTCCAACTTCTTTTGATGCTTCCTGTGTCATTCAGCATTTTGGTCATAGGATCTTTCAATATTGCAACCTGAGGTTTGAATTTTTTTCTTTCAGTTCTTTCAGCTAGAGAAGTGTTTTTCCCTTTTGTTTTCCTAACTCTAGGTCTTTGACCATTTCATTGTAATACTTGGCTTTGTCTTTTCAAACTGCCCTTTGAAACTCTGTATTTAGCTCTTTTACTTCATCACCTTTGCTTTAGCTTCTCTACATTCAAGAACAAGTTCCAGAGTCTCTTCTGACATCCATTTGGTCTTTTCTTTCTTTCCTTTCTTAATGACCTTTCGCTTTCTTCCTGCATGATGCCATCCACTTAATAGTGTATCTGTTATGGCAGCAGTGGTGGTGGTGGTAGAAAACGAAAATCATTTGGTACCAGAAGAGTGGGCTACTACTCTAATAAATCCTTAAATTGTGGAAGGATTGTGAAAATGAATACAGGTTGGAAGAGTTGTAAGTTACCTTGGTTGGTGGTGCAAACCCACCAGCTGCTCCTCAGAAACCCTTTACAGGGTCACCATGGAGTCCTGGGGTGGTGCTGTGGGTTAATGCGCCAGACTGCAAAGCCGTTTGAACTGCAAGGTTGGCGGTTCAGCTGCTTTTTGGAAACCCTATACAAGGTCGCTGTGGGTCGGAACCGACTCCACGGCACTTAACAACAACAACATGAGTCAGAACCGGCTCGATAGCACTTCACAACAACAACAACAATGGGTAGAAAATGGAAGACTTCTTCAGCACCACCACTTGTCTGTCAGTTTGCTGTACTGTGGTCGCCTGCATGATGCTGGACGCTGTGCCACCAGTATTTCACATGCCAGCAGGGCCATACGTGGTGGACAGGCTCCAGCAGAACTTCAAGACTAAAGCAGACAAGGAAGAAGGACCTGGAGATCTAATTCTGAAAAAATTGGCCAGTGGAAGTGTTATGTCATGGATTGAAGTGTGGATCCTAAAATATGTGTAAATGTGACTGTGTCATGATTCTCAGTGACTTGGCAGTTGTGTAATGATGCAATTAGCCTACTATGTAATGATCTACGACATAATTCAATGTGATAAGCCAATCAGTTGTAAGAAGATCAAGGGTCACAGCCCTAATCAGATGTAAGGGAAGCTTCGTTGGGGTGTGTACTGCAGCACCTTTTATCTTGCAACAGATAAAAGGAGAGAGAAGCCAGCAGAGAGAGAGAAATTGCTACTACCAAGAAAAAAGAGCTAGGAGTAGTGTATGTGTTTTGTATCCAGCGTCCCTGTGCAGAGAGCTTCCTTGATCCAGGGGACGATTGATGCTAAAACACATGGAGATCTCCAAGAGACGTTGAAAAGAGACGAGGACCTTTCCCCAGAGCCACCAGAGAGAGAAAGCCTTTCCCTAGAGCTAGTTCCCTGAGTTTGGACTTC